TTTCACTATATGAGCCTTCGGTACTGTAACTGTAAGTGTTGAAGGCAAAGCTGTATGAAGTTAAGCTTTTTTTCTAGACAGCGTTGGTATGTTGTTCTTGTTCTCACACAAAGCAGAGACACGGTCGAATAAATCAAAGACAATGGAACTATATTGGAATTAAACTCAAAGATATGAGGTTAGGGAAGTATCATAGCAATGTAATGTTGCTGTCCATTTGTTTTTTTTTGTTTTTCCCCATATCTCAGATTTGCTTCTTTAGGCCATTCACAAAGGGGGGATATTAACATGTTTTTATGCACAGTATTGTAAATGGGCTGCTTTATCAATGTCATGCTCATACTGTGCCGGAACAACATAGGGGGAAACTGATGCTTTTTCTTTCCCTATCCTTACTATCATCATTTTTTCTCTACTTCTTTTGTATGCCTGTCTCTCTCTTATGAACTGCTATTTCCGGGGTGCCTTTATAGTCGAAACAGACTTTTTGCTGTTGAGGCTAGAGAGGTGATCAGAGTAAGCCTGATTCCCCATTTGCACTTCTCTGTTGACATCCACATCTTGGCGCTCATATGACCTTATGCTGTTGCGAGTGCCGTAAAACCTCTACTAAAACAAACATCAAATTTGTTGTTTCTTTGTTGGTCCCCAGGGGTGATCAGGTACATGGGACCCACAGAGTTTGGCGAGGGAACGTGGCTGGGCATCGAACTACGGAAACCTAAAGGCAAGAACGACGGCAGCGTGCAGGGTAAGCGCTACTTCACGTGCCCCGACAACTGCGGCCTGTTGGTGAAGCCCAGCCGGGTGAGTCTGCGCGGCATCAACGGAGCCAAGATCTTAGCGGAGCAGAACGCCTCGCTGGCCGTGGCACAGAACATCGCACGAGCGACGCGACACAGCGAGGGAGGCCGGCCGCACAGTCGAGAGGGGTCCTTGTCGGATCGGGGGGACAGTAACGATAGATTCTGACCTAGTGAATGATGTGAGAACTTTTTCTTTTCTGTGAGTGAGTTTGCTGATGATTTGAGTTGAATGAGAGAAATGAGTGATGAACTTTGATTGCTGATGTTTGTATTAAATCTATTTTAGGGGGGTGAATTTGCTGATGAATTGAGTCGAATGAGAGAAATGAGTGATGAACTATGATTACTGATGTTTGTTTTGTAACACTTGGAGAAGAAGAAGAAATATTTAATGAGACTCGATATTTAGCCTAGGAATAAAATGAATTACAGTGGAGTCCTCTCAAACCAAAATCTGCGGTACCACCAGATTTTTTTCGCTTTAGCCGGGTTTTTTGCTTTAGCGAGCAGAGAAAAATAATAAATAATAAACAGGGAGGCCAAATCTCTGGTTTTTCCGGCTTTTTCCGTTTTTTTCCTACACTAGCAAAGGAAAGGGGAATGGTGAGAGAAATGTTTTTGTTTGCTCATTGAAAGATTTTACAAGGTTCGTTTGAGGTGAGGTGTGATGCTCCGCTCATTTTCGTTTTTTTTTTTCAAAAATCATTTGGCATCCCTGAGTAAATGACATTTATATAGCGCTCAACCCTTATTAAAGGACCTTGACCATCAATGATTTATTTATAGAGGCTCCAGCCATTCAGCGATTAAAGTACACAGGCTCTGAGCGCTTAAGAGTAGATCAGAGAAGTGAGAAAGAAATCCCAATGTCAGTGATGTCATACAACACAGCGTGTGTCGTCACGTGTTGTCACGTGTAGGGTCTATGTGAACTACAACATGTAGCTTTTCATAGACTGTAGGCCATGACCGTCTTTCAGCAACACACCTGATATTCTGGTAGGAAAGATCTACACCTAGCCTTCTCGGACAAGGGCGAAAAATCTCGGAGGGCCCGTGTGCAAGTTGCGCACGTTAAAGATCCCTTGGTGGTCTAAAATCGATAAGAGTAGGCTTCCGCCGCCACCCGGGCAAAATTCAAAATTTCCTACCAACTGAAAATATTAGGTGTGTCCCGCGCGCTCATATGACCTATGCAGTTGCGAGCGCCGTAAAACACTTTACAAAAAACAAACAGGCCATGACCAACCAAAGGTCGTGCGACAAACCTACTTTCACTATCCTTGCTTCACTAGGCCTATACACAGTGTGTACGTCTGTAGATGTGTGTGTGATAAACGTAAGTAAATAGTACACTGACCATGTCTCTGTCTGGCCCGCCACCGACCGACACATCTGCCTTCTCGTGTCTTTTTCTTCTATTTCGCTTTCTTGAAGCTCTAAGACTCGTCGTTTGCTTTACTTGAGAGTTGCTAGTGAAAATTTAGACGACATAACCTTCAAATGCGCGCTCATATGACCTTATGCAGTTTGCGAGCGCCGTACAACTCCTATAAAAACAAAAAAATAACCCTCGAAATTCTTTTTAGTTTAGAAATGGGAACATTTGGGCAAATTGATAGCTTTCCAAGAAAAACAAAGAAGAAAAAGAAATCAGGGATTTTCTTTTCTTACGATACACCGCAGTTTTTGGATTGAGTGAGTTTGGTTTGAGCAGACTCCACTGTATATTCGAAAGATTTCCAGACAGTGGGTAAGCATTATGTGTGGGTGGTTTGCAGGTGTTCAAGTGTGGTTTGCTCCTTCTTTCCTATCAAACATCTATCGTGGGTTATCTCTCCTCTTTGTTTCCTTTGTATGTTACTCTTTAGTAACACCTCTATTTTTCGGAACTTTTGTGACCTAATTGTGTCGCAAGTGCAGCAAAACTCCAACTGACACTTAACAAAGCATTGTCGTCTATTCTGCTGTCCCGTCGTTTTATGCAAGAAAAATTCTGAAATTATGCAAAATGAACCCAATAATGTGAAATTATGCAATTCTGTTAAATTTTAACAAAGAATGATAAAGGAAAATAATCTGAAATTATGCAAAAAATGATAAAATTTTGCTAAATTATGCGGGGTGCATAACACCACAGGGACAGATTCTGTTCAGATGGAATCCGTCTTAGAGAATTTTAGCGTGAGTGAGCAAGTGTTGCTGCCGTGAAGTTGTTATGGCTGAGTCCTGTTTTGTTTTAACTACCACAAAGTCGCTCTACGGTGCTAACTATGGCAACGATTTCTACAGACCTGGGTCAGAGCAGTGCTCTACTCACTCATGTTTCTGTTTGCCAGAGGTGTTTGCTGTGTGTGTGTGTGTGTAGGTGTGTGTGTGTATGTGTGTGTGTGCGTGTGTAGGCGTGTGTGTGTATGTGTGTGTGTGCATGTGTAGGTGTGTGTGTAGATGTGTGTAGGTGTGTGTGTGTGTGTAGGTGGGTGTGTGTG